CTGGGACTCCTAGTCGCTCCCCACGCCCCTGCCAGGCTTCCGTCTGGTGCGCAGCCAGAAAAATCAGAAAATACCGGACATTGCACATGTCTGGTATTTTCTAATTTTTTTTTTTACCGGACAGAGCGCGCAAATACCGGACACCTGGCAACCCTAATGTGGACCCATCCAAATTGCTCCTAATCTAAACAAAACAGTGACCTGAAGGAGCAAAGGCTCCCCACGCCCCTGCCAGGCTTCCGTCTGGTGCGCAGCCAGAAAAATCAGAAAATACCGGACATTGCACATGTCTGGTATTTTCTAATTTTTTTTTTTACCGGACAGAGCGCGCAAATACCGGACACCTGGCAACCCTAATGTGGACCCATCCAAATTGCTCCTAATCTAAACAAAACAGTGACCTGAAGGAGCAAAGAAAGGCATCTCCCTCCCTTTCAAGAGGTGATTACTGCATCTTCAGTGCTACTAGTCATGGCTCACTCAAACCAGGGAACAAGTAGTATGATGCATGCTGCTCATCACGTGGTAAAGAAAATGATTAACACATTTCACAAAGACAGAAAACTGACAGAGATTACTTCTTCCATTACTGAAAAGAAACTTGGGGCAGGACGTTAACAGAGACCCAAGCAGCAACGTTACACAACAGTTTAGGGCAGAGAGTAAAGATACTTTTATCCAGAAACAGGCGTGGGGCATTTTGTTTTACTACTCCGACATTATGGGGGCAGTGCTCTGGTTTTTATTTATATTGACTTTCATGCAAGCTGAGACATTGCTCTGATAAGGAAAAAAACTGGTTTATGTTGACATCTCCCAGGTTAAATAGCTCTTAGGGAGGTGGTGTTGGATTCTTGCTTTCTTGTAATATAAAATAGTGAATGTCTCCAGCCAGATCACTGATTTCCGGCCAATGGGAACTGCAAGGATTGTACTTGGGGCAGAGGCAGTGAAGGAGATCCCTCTCCCTCTGAAGGGGCACACCATGCAGACACACACACACACACACACTTGCCCCAACAGCTAACAGCTTTGAGTGGCATGGGGGGCACTGGCAGACAGAGAGCCAACCTGAGGGTTCTGCTGGGAGCCACCTACAGTAAGCACCTCCTAGCCAGAGTTTCCACCTGGCACCCCACTCCTATTGCACCCCCCTTCTTTGCCACAGGTCACAACCCCCTTCCCATACTCCATCCTCCACTTCATTGCTTACCCCACACTCCTGCACCCCAATCCCCACCTGAAGCCCCTTCTGCAACCAACCTCCATCACAGACCCCACACCCATCCATTAATGTCATAGAAAAGTACAGCCCATGAACATTTACCAAATATTTGGATTGGCCCCCCTCCTCAAAAATTATTGACCACCCTAACCTACACTATAATCTCCTCTGGGCTGGGTCCTTGTATTTATTCATAAAAGGCCATGCAATAGGTATAATAATAAAATTCCTCCTTGGAGTGACACAGCAGAACCGAGAGATTAGAACACACAATCCCAGAGGGCCTTGAGGTCATAAGAAAATAAGGTAACAAAGGTTTCTTTCATTAGATTTAAAGTCACTCAACTATGCAATGTAGCCACAGCTTAACCTCCCCCGAAGCACAACTGATTTCTACAGACTTCCTAAAGAGAGGAAAATAAAATCAGTTTTAATTATGTTGACACTACTACTACCTTAGCCTGGTTATAACCAACATAGTACTGATGGAGCAGGGAAATTGTCTAAAAGTAAATCCGGGCCCCCCAGCATCCTGATCCCATTGTGACTACAGGTCCCACCCACTCTTACAGGCTCAGCACTTTTGCAATAAGCCTGTTTGTTTATTGCTATGACATACAGATCAGGAGTTCAGTCTTCAGAATATTTCAGGATTATGATCAATTTATATAGATTTTATATGTTTACTCATAGTTGTAACATCTTATATAGATGTTACAACTATATGTAAACAGTCAGCACAAAGTGTCAGAGACACATGTTCATGAAGAACCACTCTGCACTAGCTCAAGCTGACAAATTATCTTCAAGGATAACCAAGTCAAGCTCCAGATGGGGACCCATTTTGACAATTCAGGAAGACTTAGTGACCCAGAGCAATTCAAAAAAATGTGTGAATGGCTCCTTAAGAGCCACCTGGGGAGACACCTGGCGACCCTTTTAAAATGTAATGGCGACCCATATTTCCTGCTCCAAGATAACCTGAAGGTGCTAAGCACCAGGATTGCCTTGAAAAGGGTCTTGTCACAGGATACTACTGTGGCCTGTGAATTCCCTACCATAGTTGCTATGTAAACCTCGCAAGACTCACAATTAAACCCACTTTCATGCTGCTTCTTATTAAATGCAAAAAGCGGTCACACCTTCTGGCCATCTTGGGTTTATGCTGAAGCAAGACTACAACCAGAAGGAACAGAGGTAACAGGACTCAAAAAGACAAAGATGGGCTTCTCCTCCTGAAATGAATGGTGGTTTGTCTTTTCCCCCCTAAATCATCTCTCACTTCCTGTCTTCCTCCACCTCCATCTTTCTCCCCAATTCATAAACTTCTCTCCTCCCCACCTCCTGCCTGCATTAATACACTGACTAGTTCCCCTGCCCTTAGTGGTCCCCCCAGGTCTTTATAAATGTGTTGGGCTTGAAAATACAACTATTACCTTAAGGAC